AAGAATTATTATACAGTCTTATATTCGTTTTAAAATGACCTGACTTTGTATGAAGTCCTTCCAACAATATTCTTAAATGTTCTGGGTATTGCACTGATGACAATATAACACCACCATGACCACAACAGTCATTAAAACTATCTTGTTTACCACTAACTCTTTCATCTTTAAAATGCTTAGCTTGACAATGATTGCAATAATAATTCATTTTTCCCAGATAATTTACATTAGAATTTGATTCATGAATAATATTGTCATTGGATATGCTTGGCAAAGGAACAATTGATTTTTGTGTACTAAGTATCAAGTTTTGATTCTTATGATAATTTTTTTGAAATTCATCATCATTAAAATCATTAACTTGACTGGACAAATCTTTATGTTTAAGTAATCCTTCTCTAAATTCTTTTTGACATTGTACATTGCCTTTTTTATGAAAGAAGTCTATTTCATTATTGATAAATTCAAACTGCCTCTTATTCACATGTTGTCCTTAAAATTCTAACTGACTTGTTTGCATTTTTTTAGAGAAAAAATCTACTTTATCTAAATGAAATAAATGTTTTATTTTACTTTTCGATTTAAGTACGTCACAATAGTGTTTCGTGTCTGAATGATTATTAATGTCCTTTGCACTATTTAAAATTCTTGCACAGGGAATTTCTTGATCATTAATTTTATTAGGGTTTATTTTTCCACATAAGAGTTCTTCAACTGGATCACTTAGAAGACACTCCTAATTATACTTAACAATTAAACGTGGATTAATAGAATTTATTATAGTCGGAAAACGACTTGAATGGTTGTTTTTAAAAATTAACTTCAAATGATTTCTCATGTGATAATAATCATAAGAAAGAGTGTTTGGCATTTCATTAAAAAATAATTATGTTGCAAATGCTATTGCAAATACTCCACAATCAACACTGCCTAACGGTTGTTGGTTAACTTTTGAAAATACCAAAGGTGGTTTAAATGGATATAATCTAATTAAATAGCTCATTTGATCCTCATTTAAAGAGTCTTTGTTAAGACTATCAAAAATATAAAGTCTTATTCCATCATAGTAAGTGCAAATCCAGTGACCAGATTTGAAAGAACCACTAAAAAGAATTTGAATGTGTCTCTTATTTTTATCGATTGGAATTATCAAGTACTTGTACACATAAAGTACTTTGCATATTATATAACATACTTGATTGTCTTGCTAAAAGCTTTTGAAATTCATGCATATGATCATCATTCAACATTGCATTTTTATTATCTATTATATTATAATTTTCATCACTTAAACTAACTAGTTCTTTCTTATAAGCCATGATTTTTATTTTATAAATTTGACAAACAAGATGAAAACCACTTTTAAATAAATAACTTCTTTTTTATTCAAAAAATAGAAATATGAAATATATGATAATCCAATTTAATTTTAAATGTCCATTTCCATTTCAAGTTTTCTCACATTTCTTTGTTTTCAATTTTGCCTTCATTCTTTATTTTCAATTTCCTTGTATCCAAATGTCAAAAATATTTTAAAAAACACTTTTTAATAATAAAGATTTATTTACATAATATTCATGATATATTTAAGCATTATTTACATTTTTTGAATGACTTATAATCACTTCAAAATAAAAAAATATATATTACTGTAATCAACAAAAAATTCAAATTTCTTACTATTAAAAAAAATTTACTTACACTAATTTACTTGCAGTTCACTGAATGTTCTATGATATTGAAAAAATGCACTTACACTGATTCACTTTCAGTTCACTGATTGTTCAATAAAACAACTCACTATTTCTTAATTGATACTTATACGACGAAAAAAGTAAATGATGAATAAAAAATATCTGGTCTCTATTCGAAAAGTAGTGCGACAATAACGCTCCTATGTGTAATTTGTTTCAATCTCACTCGCACTCATGCTTACCACTGATTCGTAGTGTATATATATATATATATATTCACTGTAAATGGTATTAAATTATAAATTCACTAGCGCCTCTGACGGCCTTCGGCCGTCTTCGTTTGCTTCTATTCTTTGTCCATTCAGTTCAATTATTAATTTAATTATTCATTTATATTTTGACTTAATTTTTTATACGATAATATAATACTTTTTATGTTAAAAATATATTTTCTTTTAATTAGGTTATTAATTTTTTAAGTATTAATTATATAAAATTTAATTATTTTTTACTTAGTATCACAACTCTTTTGTGTTCAACAATTTTGTTACTTTGCAGATATTGTTATATAAATGAAAAAAAATATTTCACATTCTTTTTATGTATATAATATATAAATATGAATTCATAATTTGATTTTAAAGAAGGTTAATGTACTCTGTAATCAATAATATTTATTATTTTGTTTTTAAATGTTAAATATCGAATGTTTTGTTAAATGTTATATGACCTTTAAAATAATTTAATTAAAAATTTTTTTTTTCAATTATAAAAAATTTCTTGAAAAACAATATTCTTTACTACATTATTTTCCCTTTGGTCTCCTAAATATATTTTGAGTGATGACCAAGAACGAACACGTGATAATGCAACATAAAGTTGCCCATGATTAAAAACGTCTCGCCTTAGATCTATTCCTATTTTGTCAAAAGTTTGCCCTTGTGATTTGTTGATAGTCATTGCAAATGCAATTTTAATTGGAAATTGTCTGCGTCCAAATTCAAAAGGGTACCGCTCATCACTGTATAAAGTTATTCGATTAATAAACACTATATTACCACATTTATCTCCAGTTAAAATTTTGCACTTTAATAAGTGATTTTTTAATTCCAAAACTTGCAATCTTGTGCCATTGCATAGCCCTTCATTTATAGAAAGATTTCTGATTAACATAACAACTGTATTAATTCTTAATCGCAATTCATGTGGTGGTAAATTTGGAGGATTTAATGTCTCTAAATATTCAGGTAGAAGGGCTTCACCAATCTCACTATTATCGCAATTTTTAACAGTATTAATACTGGTATAAATTTTATCTGTTGACACATCTAATAATTCAACTACTGATTTATTAATATCATCTACGTCAACATTGCGAGCTGACAATATTGCCATTTTAGTTAATTTTTCGAATTCTTTGTTTTTAATTACATTTCCATAGGTATCTTTTGCAATATCTGTGTTTGGAGGAGCTATACAATTTTCTGGTATTCTTAAGTCATTTTCATTCTGGTTAGCCGTTCCATTTCCAACTTGTAATAAAAATGATGAAAATTCTTTTTCATGTGGTAAAGCTCGCATATTTTCTGTCAAAGAAAATTTAAAAAAAGCAGACCACACACGACTGTACTTAATACAGAGATTGACCAATTCACTGCGAGTGGCATTCTGTTTGACTGGCAACAATTGTCGAAAATCGCCTCCAAGTATCATTATCTTACCTCCAAACGGTTTATCGTTGTTCATTATATCCCTTAAATTGCGATCTACTAATTGTAGAGCATGCCTTGGAGCCATTGGTGCTTCATCCCAAAAAAATACGTCTATACTTTTTAAATACTCTGCTTCTTTGGATTGTGCTTTAATAGTCAAAGATGAATCACTATAAATTGCAATTGGTAATTTAAAAGTCCTGTGAACAGTTTTACCATGCGGCAATAATGTAGCTGCAATTCCTGTGAAAGCCATAGTACAAACTTTTTTTCCTTTACTTTCTAATAAATGAATCAAAGTTGTGTAAACAAATGTTTTGCCGGATCCTCCAACTCCATTAATAAAGTAACATCTTTTTCTGTTATTATCAATCATTTGTTCATCATCAACTGTTTCTAAAACAATATCTACAATTTCTTTTTGTTTTTCATTAAGATTTTCATATTGTTTAGTACTAATTTCTTTGTGTTGTTCTATTAATATTTCATTTTCAATGTCATCTTCTGTTTCTGTTATTTGTAGCATTGACGGAAAACATGTTAGACTTGAATTTTCATTAATAAGCAATGTATTGATTTGAATGTACGCTTTTTTTTGTGCAAAAATGTCAGACATTGTTTTCGAGTAGTCTTGAGATAAAGCAACTTTAAACTCTTCCCATAGTTCTTCCGGTCGTAAAGGTTGACAATGAATTAAAATTCTTACAAATAATTGCCTTAACTGTCTGGGCATTATCCAAACTTCTGCTTCATGCAAAGCATTTTTCCATTCATCATCATCTTCAATTAAACCTAATGCTAAGCACGTTGAAACCAAAGAATTATGTACTATACCATCGACTGTTTTTAAATTTTCAAAACTTGTAGCTCCTTTTACTGTAATTAATAGTAATCTTAAATGAAATAATTCAATTTGTGAGAGACTCACAGAATACATACGACCTAAAGTGTTAAAATGTTGTTTGCGTTTTTGCCATGTGAGAGCATTAGATAAATTTTTGTTTCTTTGAAATACATAATGTAAAGGAATTTCAGAATATGTAAAATTTTTGACTGTTGCATCTCGTTGATTTAAAGAGAAATACTCTGTGAGTTCTGTAGATTTATTTAACGCAGATCTAACTGAATTTTGATCATCTACATTATTTATAACAACTGTTTGCTGGTTTGGCAAGTGAATAGGAAGTCGATAAATTGTATGACTTTTTCCTTGCAAATTGTTGCTTAATATACGGCCACATGCTTCAGTTGGGCTAACATAGCGAGTTTCAACATAATTTTTAATTTCATCATGTTCAATAACCCCTAATTCTTGATTATTATTATCATTGTTTTGTGTTTCTTGAATGACAACAGCAGCAGCATCGTGTCCTTTGTAAATATATTTATACAGATATTTTACTGCTTTAATACTTGTAACTACTTCTACGTTAATATGGCAATTTAATCTCAATAAGAGTTCTTTATTATGGGGTACAACGCGTTGATTATCATATTGAAATCCATCACGACGATTATATGTCTCAGTATTTCGTCGTCTATAGTGGGGATAACCGTCTTCATCCATAGTCGTTTGATCATTAAATTGTTTTGGTTAATTTTTTGAACATTTGCCATTTTTATCTAAGCACCAGTCTCCGCAAGGACCATGAATCATATTGGCATCAATGATGTTATGTAATCTTGGATTATCTGTTGGATGAGGAATTTCAGCTGAAATAAATTTATCTACAATTTCAGGAGTTGTAATTTTAGAATTGGGTTTTAAATTATTCAATAAATGAACATGTGGTAATCCACGTTTTTGGTATTCAACAACGTAAACGTAAGCTTGCAATTCACCAAATAATTTTTCTTTAACTATTATGTTAAGGAGTTCTTCTTTTTTTAATTCAAAAACACGAGCCACTAAATCAGGTCTATCAGAAGCAGTTTGTCCATCCAACAAATTTTCTGTAATTTCTCTCCACTTTGGATTGCAAGTCATTGTAATAAATAAATCAGGTTTACCAAATTTCCATACTATGGTCATTGCATCTTGATAATTTTGTAACATATTTCTTGGTGATTCTGCATAAGTAGAGGGTAGAACAATTACTTTTCCAACACGACTGCTTGTATTTTCTGCAGTTTTCTCCAAGTGTTGTAAGAGACTTTCATATGTATCAGCTCTCAATTGTTTTTGATTGCTTCTTAAATAATTCATTTTATCTTTTTCTACTTTAACATAGTTATCAACAGTCCATTGTTGAAATAAACGTCTTCCCATCAAAATGTAATTTGTTTCATTTCGAATAGCCATTCGGTATTTAATGTAAGCATTTCTAGTTACTCTACGATTACTGCCAACCATTTTTAGATTATCACACCAACCTTTTGTCCCGTGAGAATAGAATAATGGATAGGTCCATGGTTCAACATTAGCATCCATTGAGCTAACATATTGTAAATCCTTAGTATTTTTGTTACGTATTGTAACATACGATTCCGGAATTTCACCATCTGCAGTAGTGGAAAAAATTGCAGCAACTTCATTAACTCTTTGAAAATTGTAACGTCTTTTATCTTGTCCTTTTTTTAATGTAAACAACAGTTGTAATTCAGGTTCGTTACCATTATTTTCGACTGTCATAGAATCCAATTCTTCCTTCATCATTTGATACGCATTTGCGAAAGTATTACATTGTCTCATTGCATTGTCAATTGCACTCAAAATTTCTGCATTTAATGCAGAATTCATATTCATTCTATAATCGGTAGCTTCATTCGTGTCAATTATGAAAAGTTGTCCGAAACTGGGCATTTCATCATTAGAAGGATATAAAGATGTATTAATTTGATAATAGATTTGTCCTTGAATTTTAAAGCAAAAAGGTCCAGGCCGTCTGTTATTAAATTCTATCAAATTAGCATTGAAAGAAGCAAATGAAAATGAATTATTGTATTTTCGTATGTTACTGTAAAAGTGATTCGATAATGGATGAGTGCCTTCAAACAAATTTTTTAAAATTTCTGGTGGATCTGGTAATGGATCTAAGACTACTTTGCCATGACTGCAGCAATCGTTAAAAGAATTTCCCTTTTTACCTACTTTCTCTGCTTTAAAGTGTTTTGCTTTACAGTGAGTACATAACACATTCATATCACCCAAGTAATGTTCTAAAATTTTATTAAGTCTAGCATTTTCTAAAAGATTATCAATATCATTTTGTTGATGAATGCGATTAAAATTATTATTATTGTTGCTGATGTTATGTTCGTGCGTTAAATTTATATTGCTTTCACTTGTTGAAGGGATATTTATTTCATTATTACCATTAATTTCATGAACATTATGCAAATTTAATGTTGATGTAAGTTCATTTTCTAAAAGATTATCAATATCATTTTGTTGATGAATGCGATTAAAATTATTATTATTGTTGCTGATGTTATGTTCGTGCGTTAAATTTATATTGCTTTCACTTGTTGAAGGGATATTTATTTCATTATTACCACTAATTTCATGAACATTATGCAAATTTAATGTTGATGTGAGGTCATGAACAAATCTCATTCGTTTAGATTTATCTACTTCATTTGTACTCTTTTTGTCTTTTGTTATTTTTCTTTTTCGGTTTATAACCCTTTTTATATTTTTTATATTCTCAGACATTTTAATGTTCTTTTTCTTAAAGTTTCGTTTGTTTAAATAATTATTTTTATTTTAATATTATTTTAGGTGTTAATAATGATTTCTTTTGTCTTGAAAAGCATATATATTTTTTATTTAATGTTTACATAAATAGTAGTTAAAATTGTCTTCAAAAATATTTTTTAAAAATTCTTTTTGTAGTTTTAAAAAATCTTTCTATGGTCTTAAAAATTCCTTTTTAGTCTTAAAAATATTTTTTAGTCTTAAAAAAAATTCCTTTTTTGTTCTTAATAATTTTCCATAATCTTAATAATTTCTTTTGGTCTTATATTTTCTTAAAGTCTTAATTTCTTGATTTCAATTCAATTGAATTGAAATTAAATATTTAATTCAACAATTTCAATAAATGATGATAGAAGGTAATGCATGGTTTTTATTTTTTACGTAATATAAAGTGTTTTTATTTAATGTTTATTTATTAACAAAGGTAATTTTACATCAAAATAATTTTATTTTATTATATACAAAAAATAGTAGAATATTTACATGACAAATTAATTTAATATATATATATATATATATATATATATATATAATAAAGTTGTAGAGGTAGAATGTGCGTAATTGTATGAGTACGTTCGATGATGGTGAATTCTCCTGAAACAAAATAATGTATGTGTCAATATTTTATAATTTAAAAATTTTAATTTTTATTAATATGATTAAATTTGCTTAATGTTTGAAGTACAGTTAAAGAACAATATTTCGAAATAAGATTATTTAATATAAATAAAACAAAAATTATTATTCATTAAACGTCACTAAAATTTTTTAGTAAAATACATAAAACACATAACATTCTACTATTATTATTATTATTATAAATTTAAATAATTTAAAATATTAATTCAATATTTAATTACAATTATTTTTTACTATTAATAAATCATATGAGAGATTCTTTTTCAATCGCCCCAGCCCAAAAAGTCAATGTTCTGGGATTGGCTTCATACTTTTGTAAATTGTTCTCCTATATGATAGTAATAAATCCCTAAAATATAAACTCATTAAAAAAATATTTGTAGAAAGTAGAGGGGGTTGAAGTTTTGACGTTAAGGGTAACATTGTCATTTTCAAATCCGTTTAACTATGACAAAAGTTAATGGATTTTAATTTATCTATAATGAATTTTATTCCATTTTTCACGTACTTTTCAAAAATGTATACGAAATTTAAAAAAAAAAATTTTTAACCCCTTTTTTTCAAAATCAACCCTTATTTTTCGATTTTCACCCCTTCGGGTATTTTTTTCTTTTTTTTTTTATTTTCATTGGAAAGCTGAGGTTTTTTCCCATGAGCTATGTAAATATGAAAATGGGACAACAATAATTTTGTGAGTAACAGAATATTAAAGTAGGCGGTGCCGATAAGGGGTGTACCTGGAGATCATCTTTAAGGATTTAGATAGGCACCGCCTAATTTAATATTATGTTTCTCACAAAATTATTGTTGTCCCATTTTCATATTTACATAGCTCATGGGAAAAAACCTCAGCTTTCCAATGAAAATAAAAAAAAACAAAAAAAAATTCCCGAAGGGGTGAAAATCGAAAAATAAGGGTTGATTTTGAAAAAAAGGGGGTCAAAAATTTTTTTTTTAAATTTTGTATACATTTTTGAAAAGTACGTGAAAAATGCAATAAAATTCACTATAGATAAATTAAAATCTATTAACTTTTGTCATAGTTATACAGATTTGAAAATTACAATGTTACCCTTAACGGCACCCTTATCGGCACCGCCTACTTTAATATTCTGTTACTCACAAAATTATTGTTGTCCCATTTTCATATTTACATAGCTCATGGGAAAAAACCTCAGCTTTTCAATGAAAATAATAAAAAAAAAAAATACCCGAAGGGGTGAAAATCGAAAAATAAGGGTTGATTTTGAAAAAAAGGGGTTAAAAATTTTTTTTTTAAATTTCGTATACATTTTTGAAAAGTACGTGAAAAATGCAATAAAATTCATTATGGATAAATTAAAATCCATTAACTTTTGTCATAGTTATACGGATTTGAAAATGACAATGTTACCCTTAACGTCAAAACTTCAACCCCCTCTACTTTCTACAAATATTTTTTTAATGAGTTTATATTTTAGGGATTTATTACTATCATATAGGAGAACAATTTACAAAAGTATGAAGCCAATCCCAGAACATTGACTTTTTGGGCTGGAGCGATTGAAAAAGAATCTCTCATATACATATAATGCCAACAGCAATCTATTAAAAAATAAAATGTTATATATTTTTATATTTAATAATAAAAATTTTTTCATATATATGTAATTAAAGAAAGTAGATTATCATTTAAATAAATAATAATGAGAAAAGACTGACCTTTAATATATATTGATTTTTTCTTGTACTTTTTCACTGGCTTGTTGTTAATAAATCCTTGAAGTTTTCTTTCTATCTACAAAACCAATAAAATTACAATATATTTAATATATATATGCACGATATTAAAATTAATTTTTTTAAAATATAATACTATTATATCGCAAAAAAATTTTGTATGGTTGACATAAAAAACAGGTTTTTTTAAAGTTTGTCACATTCACACTTAACCATTTGAGGACCACATTTTTTGTTTAAAATAAAAATAACGATTTTCGATTTTTAAATAAACATATTTTTCAGTGAAACTACTACTACTAAGTTTTTTATCTTAAAAAAAGAGTCTGGAATTAGAAATTTATTAAAATAATTTAAAAACATTGGTTCAAAATATTTAAAAATTTTAAAATGCAAGGAATTTATGTAAAAGAAAAAAAAATGTCAATGTTACCTGAAAGCAACACTGGTCCTCAAAGTGTTAGATACCATGACTTACATCTATGTTTATATACTATCTACTTAAATGACAGAAATTTTAAGATAATATGATTGTTATTTTACATGTAAATATTCTCCTCAAGTTTTATTTGAAAAATACTTGACAGGTTGAATTAAAATTTTCACAAAAACTAAAATATAGTAGCAATTCACTGAAATCCGAAAGATTAAGTGACAATTACATGACAAAAACAATTAAAAAAGACGAAAAGAGATCCTAAGAGACAAAAAAAGAACAACTAATGTTAGAAGAAAATTATTATTGATATTGATAAATTTCATTTAATTTTTTCAACTAATATTAATAATATATTTATTCTGTAAAAATATAGTTATTAATTAAAATAATATTTATTATTATATTTATATTTATTATCAAAAATATTTTTTACAAAAAAAAACAATATAAATTCCCATTTTTATATTCAATGTTATATTGCATTTAATAAAAATTTTTAAAAAAGAGTGACAGGGCGATTAACGCTAAACGAATATAATACGATTATTTTTCAAGACCTCCATGGAGTCTGCGTCGACGCACAGCACCGAAAATTGTTTTTCACAGGACCAAAAATGTGAAATTAGTATTTTTAAAGTTTTCAGTCTAAATATTGCTTTGAGAAATACTTCACATGGTATCATGTGGAACAAAATGTTTTTAAAAATGATTCGATATTTTTGATACTATGAAAAATAATTTTTGGCGCTGAGCGTCGACGCCAGATTTATGGAGGTTTTCCAATTGCCGATTAGAAAGCACATTCAAATTCTGAAAGACAAATATTAATTAACCGTGTAAATGAAACTTGTATGTCATGTAATAAAACTCAAAACAATAGAGTAGAATGATATTTTAGAAGATAATGAAAATATTATTGAAAAAAAATCAGTCGATTTTTTAAATTAATTAAATTTTTTTTAAATTAAAAGGCAATGATTAATTATATTGATCACAACCATTGAAAAATTACAACAATCACATAACCTCAATATAATACAATGAAACTTTCTTACCTGTATTTTCCTACGTTGAAATTTTCTACAAAAAAGAAAAATTCTTTTTTGTAAAACTTTTTTTAAAGAAAGAAATATATTTCTTATAAAGAAATTACAATGAAATATTGTAATTATATATATATATTTTAAAATTTGACACTTGGGTATTTTTTGAAAAACAGATACATGAAGATTATACACATTAGTATGTCAAAATATATATAAATACATAAAATGTAGAGAAAGTGAACTCATCCAATTTTTTTGAAAATAATGCGCCATCTATGAAGGTGAGTTCTGAATGCAACATAAGGCAGTTCAACTTAAGGTGCTTTTATACCTCAAATTTCGATCAGATGAACAATATTTCTGGACCGTGAAAATGCGTGAAAAGTCATTTTTACGGCGGGTATTTTTGAATTGTTTTAAACAAAAAATGTTTTTTTTTAAGAAATATAATATTAAATAATTGGTTAAATATGTAAGAACACTTTAAAATAGTAATAGAAAGATGATTTGATTGAAAAATTTAGCATATTTTGCTTAAAAACAAGGAAGAAGCACTGTACAAACCATTTCACAAACATTGTCATTTTACATTCTCTTGTAGCAGAAAACGTTTTTAAGCAAAATATGCTAAATTTTTTAATCAAATCATCTTTCTATTACTATTTTAAAGTGTTCTTACATATTTAACCAATTATTTAATATTATATTTCTTAAAAAAAAAACATTTTTTGTTTAAAACAATTCAAAAATACCCGCCGTGAAAATGACTTTTCACGCATTTTCACGGTCCAGAAATAATGTTCATCTGATCGAAATTTGAGGTATAAAAGCACCTTTATGACATAGCGTGACGTCACAAGTTGGACTGCCTTATTTTTTTCGAGTTGCAGACATTTGTCAAAATGAAAATTGCGAAAGATTATTAGGTTTATTTTAAATTACATACATTTCTTAACCTACTTTACCGGCTATACTAATATTAAACATAAATGTCATAGATAGGAAACTCATTCAGCTACAAATTTTCGCTCTTGTAGAATTCGACGACAAACGATTCGCACACGTGACAACTATGTGGCACGAAAATTCGATTAAACAAAAATCAGATGCAATATAAATTATAAGATATTGAAATTTTATCAAGTAAATTTTATTTTAAATATAATAACAATTTGATGTCAATTCGACACTTGTGAATTCGACCTAATAATCATTCGCAGTTTTCATTTTAAAGGTGCTTATATACCTCAAATTTCGATCAGATGAACATTATTTCTGGACCGTGAAAATGCGTGAAAAGTCATTTTCACGGCGGGTATTTTTGAATTGTTTTAAACAAAAAATGTTTTTTTTAAGAAATATAATATTAAATAATTGTTTTAATATGTAAGAACACTTTAAAATAGTGATAAAAAGATGATTTGATTAAAAAATTTAGCAAATTTTGCTTTAAACGTTTTCTGCTACAAGAAAGTGTAAAATGACGATGTTTGTGAAATGGTTTGTACAGTGCTTCTTCCTTGTTAGTGTCTCTCAGAGTTTTGTTTATGTTATGTCGGTTCTTTTTAACTTGTAATAAATAATGAGTGCTGAAAATAAATCGGTAAGTTGAAATGTTTATCAAATAAATTTAAATTCAACTAATTGTTTCGAATAACTGAAAGAAACATGTACACATGTACACTGTACAAACCATTTCACAAACATCGTCATTTTACACTTTCTTGTAGCAGAAACGTTTTAAAGCAAAATTTGCTAAATTTTTCAATCAAATCATCTTTTTATCACTATTTTAAAGTGTTCTTACATATTAAAACAATTATTTAATATTATATTTCTTAAAAAAAACATTTTTTGTTTAAAACAATTCAAAAATACCCGCCGTGAAAATGACTTTTCACGCATTTAAACGGGCCAGAAATAATGTTCATCTGATCGAAATTTGAGGTATATAAGCACCTTAAGATAAATGTCTGCAACTCATTTTTTTTCTCGCTCACGCTCATGTCGCATGGTCGACCCATAAGCCCACAGGCAAGCGGTCGAACTGTGACCGTGCCCTTAGAAAATTTGTCATCTATCTTTGTGTTTTCATAGCTAGAGTAAGACAGAAGACTGGTCTTTCTCTAGCTATGATAACACAAAGACTTTGTTGGAAATATTCGGCATTAAAATAATACATCATTTAGGTGACAATTTTTATACCCTATCTTGGTCATAGAAACCAATCTTTAATTTAAGTTTTCCCTCGACTATATAAACAAATTCGCGCCTTAGTTAGTCCCTTTTTTCGTTCTCAGCTGTACTCGACGTTTTAAAGTGTGTTTTGTCTTGTGCCTCAACTGAATTAATTAAAATTTAAAAAAAGCAAGTACAATGGAAAAAGTTATATCCGGAATTAGCCTAACATCAAACGACGAAATGGATTCCTTTCTTCCAGGGGACAACTCAATGTAGGTTTTTTATTATTTTATTTAAATATATATTGATTACTATTATTAAATAAAATAAAGTTATAAATTAAAATAATTTCCATTTTCTAACCTAATAAGAAGTGAAAAGAAGGTTATGTTAAAATATTGGAGCATGTGGTTTATTTTTCTCAAAATTATTTTATAGTGCTACATTAACAAAAAAAAATTTTTAAACATAAATTCCAATTTTTATTCTCAAAAAAATGATATATTCCATTTATTAATTTTTTTAAAAATTAAATATTATACATTTTTTTAAATCAAGAGACATAATTAATATTTATAAATCCCATTAAATTGTTTAAAACTGATAAAATAATTTTTATATATATTCATATATTGTGTTGAAAAATAATGTGACAAATTAAAATAATTTCCATTTTCTAACCTAATAAGAAGTGAAAAGAAGCTTATGTTAAAATATTGGAGCATGTGGTTTATTTTTCTCAAAATTATTATATAGTGCTACATTAACAAAAAAAAATTTTTAAATATAAATTCCAATTTTTATTCTCAAAAAAATGATATATTCCATTTATTAATTTTTTTAAATATTAAATATTATACATTTTTTTAAATCAAGAGACATAATTAATATTTATAAATCCTATTAAATTGTTTAAAATTGATAAAATAATTTTTAGATATATTCATATATTGTGTTGAAAAAGAATGTGACAAATTAAAATAATTTCCATTTTCTAACCTAATAAGAAGTGAAAAGAAGGTTATGTTAAAATATTGGAGCATGTGGTTTATTTTTCTCAAAATTATTTTATAGTGCTACATTAAGAAAAAAAAAATTTTAAATATAAATTCCAATTTTTATTCTCAAAAATGATATATTCCATTTATTAATTTTTTCAAATATTAAATATTATACATTTTTTTAAATTAAGAGACATAATTAATATTTATAAATCCCATTAAATTGTTTAAAATTGATAAAATAATTTTTAGATATATTCATAGGAATACCCGGATCAAATAACTCGACCGACGCTCGGACGCACGCTCTAATGGTAGTCGGGTAGCAGTGAGCCGCCCACAGGCTGTCACTGCTACTTGACTGGTAATAGAGCGTTCGTCCGAGCGTCGGTCGAGTTATTTGATCCGGGTATTCATATATTGTGTTGAAAAATAATGTGACAAATTAAAATAATTTGTATTTCCTAATCTAATAATAAGAAGTGAAAAGAAGGTTATGTTAAAATATTTTTTGAAGCACGTGGCTAATTTTTCTCATAATTATTATATCGTTTAAAGTACTTCATTAACAAAAAAAATTTTTTAAATAATAAATTTCAATTTTTATATTGTCAATAATGATATATTACATTTATTAATTTATTTTTAAATATTAAATTTTATACATTTTTTTAAATCAAGGGACATACTTAATATTTATAAATCCCATTAAATTGTTTAAAATTGATAAAATAATTTTTAGATATATTCATACATTGTGTTGAAAAATAATGTGACGAATTAAAATAATTTTTTTTTAATCTACTAATAAGAAGTGAAAAGAAGGTTACGTTAATATATTTTTCAAAGCACGTGGGTAATTTTTCTCATAATTATTATGGGTGTTTTCGGCATTAACTCAGAGTTAACTCTAGAGTTAACAGTGGTGCTCAATGATATTATCTTTGAAAATTTATTTACCTAAATAAAATAATTGATTTTCTATTTTCATCACCCTGAGTTTGAAGTTAGTTGTCCTTGTTTGCTTACTTTTTTTTAATTTATACGTATTTTTTGTTTTTCATTTAAAAATGGAACATATTTTTGCTACCCATAAACGTGTTATTTTTTTAAAGTTTATAGGTAATTTTCAAATTTTTCATTATTTCCCTAACTTTAATTAATCTGAATTGTTTAAGAAACTAGATTATTTATTTTAATTAAAGTTGTTTTTTATAAATAAAAAGTTAAAATAATTTTTAATAAAAATAAATTATTATGTTTCAATTTACACTTTTTAAAACAAACAATCCGTTCACAAATTTTGTCGGCCATTAAAGGTTAGGACTGACCCTTTTTCTTTACTCTCGCAAGAAAACAGAGTTAACTCTGGGTCATCTAGTAATAAATTTTTGGGGACTTTTATGAAATCTAGAAACAAAAAATTTTATTTTAACATTACGTTACTAGAATAAAAGGCCCGTTTCACATGTTGTTACAATTGCAAACCCTTCGCCAATCAAAATGAATCGTCTATGCCAAATTGCCAATCAACAACGTTCACAATCAACAGACGAACTGAAAATCAAAATTTACATTTGAGCACCACTGCTAACTCTAGAGTTAACTCTGAGTGAATGCCGAAAACACCCTATATCGTTTAAAGTACTACATTAACAAAAAAAAATTTTTAAATATAAATTTCAATTTTTATATTCTCAATAATGATATATTACATTTATTAATTTATTTTTAAATATTAAATTTTATACAATTTTTTAAATCGAAGGACATAATCAACAATATTTATAAATCCCATTAAATTGTATAATATTAATAAAAAATACATTTAAATATATTTATATAAATATTGTTTTGAAAAGACTATATAAACAAATTCGCGCCTTAGTTCGTCCTTTTTTTGTTCTCAGCTGTACTCGACGTTTTAAAGTGTATGTTAGTGTTTTGCCTTGTGCCTCAACTGATGAGCCAAAAGTTTTGAACGTTCAAATGAACAAAATATTTTTTTCATTCTATAAATTATTAGAAATTATAATGTCAATGTAAAATAAAACAGTAAATTAAACAAATAATTAAATTAATACCGTAAAATGGGGTAAAGTCGGCCGGCGCTTTAAATCATTTTAAAGTTTAACTATTACTTTTTTCCAGAAGAAATCCGAGTTTTATTAAAAATGTAGTTAGAATTAATGTAAATTAATAAATGAAATACAATATTTAAGTGTTTAAAGCGCCGGCCGACTTTACCCGCAAACGCCGACTTTACCCCATTTTACGGTAACTTCTCTTTAGATATTTAAAACAATATTTTCTAATGAAATTCGTATTTAAAGAAGTTACAAAAAAAATTTTGTTCATTTGAACGTTCAAAACTTTTGGCTCATCTCAACTGAATTAAAATTTTAAAAAAAGCAAGTACAATGGAAAAAGTTATATCAGGAATTAGCCTAACATCTAACGACGAAATGGATTCCTTTCTTCCAGGGGACAACTCAATGCAGATTCTTTAATTTTTTAAATTTTATATAAAATATTTTTCTGGATCACGTGGTTAATTTTTTTCATCATAATTATTCTGTCGTTCAAAGTACTACATTAAGAAAAAAAATTTATTTTTTAAATTAAAAATAATATAAATTCCCATTTTTATTCTCATAATCTTATATTCCATTCATTAATTTTTTTAATTTTTTTAAAAAAAGGACATAATTAACAATATTCATAAATTCCATTAAATTATTCAAAATTGGTAATTAATTTTTAATATATTTATATTGTGCAGAAAATACAATTTTTATTTTCTAATAATAAGTGAAAAGAAGATTATGTTAAAATATTTTTTGGACACGTTAATTTTTCTTATCATAATTATTATGTCGTTTAAAGTAGTACTATATTAACAAAAAAAAATTTTAAATCATATAAATTCTTATTTTTATTCTCATAATGTTATATTAAATTTAATAATAAGCGTGATTAAAGGTAAACGAATATAATACGATTATCTTGCAAGACCTCCATGGAATCGGCGTCGCCGCTCAGCACCGAAAATTGTTTTTTACAGGACCAAAAATGTCAAATTATTTTATTTAAGGTTTTTAGTCTAAAAATTGCTTTGAAAAATACTTCTAAAGGTATTATGTGGACCCAAATTTTTTTAAAAAATGATTCGATATTTTTAAACTTGTAAATATATTTCGACACTGAGCGTCGACGCCAACTTCAAGGAGGTCTTACAATTACCGAGGACACCAATTGAACAAATAATATCCAATAATGCAACATATGGTAGCGGTGAAATAACCGATTTTCATTATCGTATACCAGTCAACGTAACACAATATGACAGCAATTCAACAGTACCAGTAGATGCTCACGTACGAGTGAAAGGGCGATTAAGGGTTAATGAATATAATACCATCATTTTTCAAGTGCCGAATAGAGAGCACATACTTATTCTTGGCGATAAATATTTATCACATATGGAAATGAAACTTGGGTTTCATGTAGTAAAATAAACCCAAAACTATCGAGATGAATGATATTTCAGAGGAAAATGGAAATCTTATTATTAACAGAAAAAATAGTCTGATTTTTAAAATATGAATTTATATTATGAATTTTTTTATTTTGAAGGAAATGCCATTAAATTATTATTCTAATAATAAATAAAATATTTATAATAATAATAATCAAATAACATTTAAATAAATAAACCTACTTTCGCGAAGTTCACAACGTTTCTAATCAATGATTTATAAAAATAAAAATTAATTTTCTATTTGAAAAATTATTTTTTTATTTATCTTTGATTAGAAAGTTGTGAACTTCATCGACGAAAATTTTTTTACAGTTTAGTAACTGGAGTTATAGTGAGATTAGATCCGCCTTATAAACGAAGATCATTGAAATTTGATTCTTCAACAACAAAAACTGACAAAAATGATAAAACACCATTCAGGTGTATTTTGAGTAATATGTCGGGCAGGTTTATTCGCATATTATTTTGGTCACCAAGGAAACAGGAATTCGAAGGCTCTGTTTTAAAGCAGGTAAAAGATTTTTAGTATGGTATTTAAAAAATATAATTTTCTACATAAAAAATCTATTATTAACTATTAAGATTACTATACTATGTTATATTTTACTTTTTTCCAGATAATTAGGATTTCAAGAACTCACGTCTTATTAGCAAATGCAATGTATAACAAAGGAAGAGAGGATCTAATGGAGATAGAGCTCTCGGTTCAAAAGCACACAGTCGTCGAATTATTGGGGCCAATGCCAACGGAAGAAGAGGAGATAATGTATGAAGAAACAGAATTTAAAAATATTGGATCGTCAGTAGGAAAATTAATTTGTAAGTATATAAAAAATTATTTATTGTTATTTTTTGCTATAATAATATGTTATTATTAAAAAAAATAAAAAATGCTTTTTTTTATTTATATTTTTTGTTTTTTTATTTCTTTAATAGCCATTGAGGGATACGTGAGGACACCAATTGAACAAATAATATCCAATAATGCAACATATGGTAGCGGTGCAATAACCGATTTTCATTATCGTATACCAGTCAACGTAACACAATATGACAGCAATTCAACAGTACCATTAGGTGCGCACGTACGAGTGAAAGGACGATTAAGGGTTAATGAATATAATACGATCATCTTTCAAGTGCCGAATAGAGAGCACATACTTATTCTTGGCGATAAATATTTATCACATATGGAAATGAAACTTAGGTTTCATGTATTGAAACCCAAAAATATCGAGATGAATGATCTTTCAGAAGAAAATGGAAATCTCATGCTTCGAAAAAAATCTTCTCATTCTCCTGACAACACCAGAATTCCGTCAAAGGTATTTACATATAACTAATTATAAAATAATTTTATTATTAAAAATATAAATAAACAAATATAATTTTAATGTTTTAAATAAATTAATTTTCTCTTTCTTAAAAAAATATATTTTTTTAAATTATTTTTTTTATTTTTAGAAAGAAATATTGTTTCCATATAAAAACATCAGGCCTCGGATTGTATTACTTTTTCAAAATATAATATTTATGTTTTTTTATATTTAGTAGTACAATCTAAATCTGAATTAGTGAATATTTCACTGATCTCAATTAATTGGACGAGTTTTCTTAAATTCATTAGTAAAATTTTACTGAGAATAAGTAAAAACCACTGATTGTCAATGAAATTCCACTGATTCATCAAAGAAAACTCGTCCACTGAATTCAAATCAGTGAAATATTCACTAATTCAGATTTAGAGTGTATAAAGTGAACACTATTTTAAATATGTACGACATTTTTTAAATAATTATTATAACAATTTTTAATTTATGTTTCTTTTATCCTTAGATTTCTAAAAACAACGACAATGCAGCAGTAACAGATGAAGATAAAGAAGACATTAACTTTGATTTATTTCTTTAAATAATTTTTATATAATGAAAAATGACACATTTCAGTGTTTTTCTACTAAAAAAATTTAAGTATTATTAGATATATAAATATATAAAAAACGATTAAAAGATATGAAAACTGTTAAATTTAAAAAAAGAGATTTTAAGTTTATTATTATTTTAATAATTAAATTATGATTTTTATTATATTATGAAAAATGACACATTTCAGTGTTTTTCTACTAAAAACATTTCAGTATTATTAGATATATGTGTCCTGACGCGGTGAAAGGGACCTTATGATACAATAGCAAATTGTACTTTTGAATGTTCATAATAAAAAATGAATTGAACAAAATAATTTCTAGTTTTTGGAAATGAAAGAGCAACTCAAATAATTTGATTTCCAAAAATTAGAAATTATTTTGTTCAATTCATTTTTTATTATGAACATTTATAGTACAATTTTCAATTGGACCATAAGGTTCCTTTCACCGCGTCAGGACACATATATAACAATATTAGAAGTATTATTAGTTCTACAAAAGATTAAAAGATCTGAAAACTGTTAAATGTAAAAAAGAGATTTCAAGTTTATTATTATTTCAATAATAATTAAATTATGATTTTTCATTAAGAATTAGACACATTTCAGTGTTATATTAAAACACATTTAAGTGTTAGATACATATAATTATATACAATATATTAAAACTATTATTAGTTCTGCAGAGAGTTATGAAAAAAAATGTAAAAATATTTATGTAAAGATAAATATATATTGATGATCGTACATTAATAAACTTTAATTATTTGCCCTACCTTTCCCAATTTCCAAACGACATTTGTTGTAAAATTAATGTATATAATGTATAAAATATAAAATAAATATTTATACAGAAAAAATTAATTAAATATTTAATAATTTAATAATTAATTAATAATTTCAATTTAAAAATTTAAAGGTAGCAAAAGGTTTTGCGTGTTAAAAAATGAATTGTTTCTAGGTAAAATAAAATTATTTTTTTAAAAAAGGCACTGCAAATTTTTTTTAAGCAGCTTATGAAATTCAAACTTTAAAAAAATTCCAAATTGAAATAATTTACATAAAAGATTAAAAAAAAAATTTTAAATAGGAAATTAAATATTTTTTTAATGTAAATCTAAAATTATTAAAAATTTGGGACTATTTTTTTCCTGAAAAAATAACGTGATAATGAAATTTTGTTAACACACAAAATGCAAAAAGGCATGTAATTATAGAAACAATTTAAAAAAAAAAATAATTTATTATATCGGTAAAATTTGTCTGAAAATAATAATAAATTGTTGAATAAATTTTTTGAAAAAACTAAAAACACTTTTTCATATAATGTAAAATACTATTTTCATAATAAATTAATTTATTAAAATTATTTTATTATAATTTAATCAATTTCATTATTTTAAAAAAGCGTACTCTATTAATTTTGTCTTAGACCAATCATGTGTTTTCAATTATTATTTGTAAAATTTGTCTGAAAATAATAATAATAATAATAATTGTTGAATTTTTTTTAACTAAAAATAAGGGAGAGTCGGTAGTGGCGAGACACGTTTTGTTTTTTTGTTATAGCACTCACATTTTCAAGAACATCAAGTCTGTATATATATCCATGGACAGGTGTGACTCTATACTGCAAATTTAACTTATACAGTTACAGAACAGATATTGGAAAAAAAAGTTATTGCCGATTTACGATAATGTCTCGCGACTACCGACATAAAAAATCGTCCGTAGTGGCGAGACACTATCTTAAAATCAGAGTCTTCATCGTTCAAACGTAACAAAAAACAAAGGAATCAAAGAGAAAGAGTATAATAATTGATGCCTTTAAATCATAATATTATTTCATTCAATCATAAAAATACAGGCAAATATTTTTCTGATTGTGAGCCGCTAATCCATGTCACAGTTATTAAAAACAAATAAGCTTTTCTTCCTGTTCATCTTTTTTCAATTTAAACTATAGTTATGAAAAATATTGTCGACAAAACGTACAAAAATTATATCAAATTCATTAGGACATGTACAATATTATTAGATATAAAAAGCCACTGCCGACAACAAGTGTCTCGCCAATGCGGAAACAGCATTTTTCGGTAATGACGATGTACAATCCTATGCATCGAACAATAATTCATAGTGCTCTGGAAATTTTGAAGGAAACTTAAATACTAAAGACTCAAAATATTTAACCCTTCAGAAAATTCCGGAAATTTTTATATATTATCACTTATACCGATGGGAAATAAAACTTTTAAAATATCTTGAAACTGTTATTAACAGTATAGCGATATTTCGTACATCAAAAACGTATGCATCATATTGAAAAGTTAAAGCACAATAAAACTTGTCTTTCAGGCCAGAAGTGCAAGCACAGTCAGTTCAGCTGTCTGAAATATCCTAATGTCTCGCCACACAGGCTGTCTCGCCACTGCGGACAACGCCCTACTTTTTTATTCAAGTAAAATATTATTTTCAAAAAAGCGCGCTCTGTTTTGTCTTGTGCCAATCAGGTGATTTCAACTAAATGTAGGTTATGTTCGTTTCTGATTCATGACAGCTGCAAACATTTACAATAAATAAATGTTTTGCAAGTGTAAATTTCCAAAAACGACACCGACCCCGTGACCTCGACACCGTCCTTGGAAAATCTATTTTCACTTATTTTCAAATAAATCAAAATACTTTGCCATATGCTTTTAGAAAATCTTACATACTTTTTTTTGTAACATGTTTTTTTAATTTTAACTCGAAAAAGGGTTATTTTGCATTTTCATCCTAAATAAAGGGTTATTTTGTAATTTTATGCAATTTTTTACGAATTTTTGGATATATACCTTTAAATTTACTCTATTTTTAAAAAGTTACATATAAACAATTTTTTTCAATTTTTTATGTTTTTTTATTATTTATTGTTGTTTTTTAAATTTTTAGTTAGGAACCTATAATATTGTGCCTAATTTTAAGTGTCATTGCAATCAATTCTTTTTAACTTAATAATTTTAACATTTCTTATTTTAAAACGAAACATCTTCTTCTTCTATTATATTAATTTAACAAATTTCCAAAAACGACACCGACCCCGTGACCTCGACCTTGGAAAATCTATTTTCACTTATTTTCAAATATATCAAAATACTTTGCCATATGCCATATGCCTCTATAAGTAATTGCAAATAAGGATTATACGGCACAACAAATCTATTATCTGCTTTTCTATTTTTTTTCATAGAATTGAAATTATTCTCAAAACATAGATGAACACCTGCATCCTGTATTACATAGCACAATTATCGCTTTTACATTGACTACAATCATCTGTCATATTGTAATTGTGCCAAAAAAATAAAAAATTCTTTTAAATATTGTTGCAAATTATGTAGAAAATTTTTTATAAAACTGTTGGAGAGTATTTAGTTTAATTTTGTAGGTGTAGATTACGTCTTCCAAAAGGAACCTTTTTTGGTGCACTTAATTCCGGACAACAAGTAATATATGTAAAATCAAACAAGAATCTCTTTATAAAGGTTTACTCTGGATAATAAAAATAAAAACCGATATTTTAAAAGGTTTTTTGATTTATTACGAACATTTTTCTCAAAAATTTGCAAAATCTCTATGTATTTGTGGGGCAATTTACAGCAATATAATATAATATTATATAATTATATAATATTATAATTTAAGATAAAAAAATATATTATAATATAATGTGATATATTATTATATAATATAATATATAATTATATAATATAATTAATATTGTTGTCATAATTATAATAAAAAACATCTAATATTTAACAATTGTCATTTCATTCTTTAATGATACTGATCAAAATTAAGATAAATTTTATACAATATTAATAAGATATTAATTTAAAACATAAATTATATATATAATATTCATAAACTACAATAAGTAAACAACAATAAGTACAACTATAACCGAGCAAGCGTTAGCGAGCGAGGAATACATCGCTAGTTAAAATATAAATATAAAGAAAAATTTTATAGAGTAGAATTTTATATTTCCAAATAAATACAATTGTATTAACTAATTTAAACAATACTAGAACCAAATCGGCGCGCGACGCGCGCCGAACTTTCTAGCTGGTTCTTCATTTATAATTTAAGTTATAAAGTTATGAAAAAATCTTATAATTGTTATATAATTATATAAATATTCTATAATATTCTATAAATATTGTAATATAAATAATTGTGGACGTCTGCATGAAAAGGGGCCACTTTCTCAGTTCTATCTTTCGAGATAATCACAATTTACTAAATTCGATGAAAGATCTTGATTTTTCTTTCACTGTTTTAAATCAATCAACAACGTCTTACCTGTCGAAAAATGCGCTTGACATAATTTTTTTGTTACTTTCATTAATTTCTTTCATTTTCTTAAGAAAAAAACCGAACAGGTCCCACTTTGTCGGTTAATCAACATTTTTAAAACCGGAGGTGAACAAAAATTTAAAACCTGTCAGTTTGTCATCAGACAAGTGTTTCTAACCTAAAAAAGTTATAATCTGAATAAATGGCCGAAAATAACCGAATTATTCTTACTTTTAGTTCGGTTTCGTGTTCGTTTGATTCAAATTAGAGACATTTTCAATACAACCATTATTTATAATAAAATCATTTGAAAGATTTTAAATTAATCTAATTTCTCTTATTCTTCTTTAAAATTATCAGTACAATCATTTTCAAACATTAACTTTGTAAGAAACTCGATTTATGAACTAAATGTTTCATTTTTTAGAAAAGGTCCCACTTTTTCGGTTTATCATCATTTCCAAAACCAAAAATAAAAAAAATTAAAACCTATAAATAATATAAAGTCAAAGTTAGTAAAAACGCAATAATGGGAATAAGAAATACAAAAAATGTTTGAAATCTTAAAAATTTTTAAGATTTCGTAATTTCAGCTGTTATTAAAATTTCGCAAATTGATTACCAACTAAAATAAAGTGTTAAAAACTTAGGTAATCAATGAATATTAAATCAACATAGATTTTTAAATTGAGAGAACTTAGAAAATAGTAATTAAAAGAAATGTTAATAATTTCTTGAAAAACTGAATAATTTTGTATTATATGATCCTTTAATATATTTATAATTATCCTAATTATTTAACTTTTTAACTTTGAAAGTTATTCTGCATTAAATTTTAGGACAAAACATTTAAAATAGTCAAATTATGCAGAAAATTTATAGAAAAATAAAAAAAATTTTTAGTTTGTAACTATCTTTCTTACAGATATTATTTATTTTTAATTTTGAAGTATATAATATCGGGAAATACTTCAGATCTATTTCAATCTGAAAAATACAGTGATTTTAAATCAATCTCAGAAAGTCATAAAATTTATCTACACATAGGTACTTATAACCCATCGATGACTGGTACTACAGCTAGTTTATAATAAAAACATTCAAAAATTTTTAATTAAATCTAATTTCTCTTACTCTTCTGTAAAGTAATTTATACAATCATTTTTAAACGTTAACTTTGTAAAAACTCGATTCATTAAAAAAAATCGTATTTTTTAGAAAAGGTCCCTTTTTGTCGGTTGACACTATTTTAGAACTGTGCAAAGTTCTATTCGAATCGAATTTTGTTCAGTTTTCAAACGCCCTGACTCGATTCGATTTAAACCGAA